ATATAAGAATCTCAATTTGTATAATCATAAAAACGCGTTTTGCTCATTATCTCAATAATGACAAAATGCTACTTGGATCACTTCTGTTCTTAACTAAACTCAAAAAATTATTTTGATATTTTTACAAAAAAAATATTTCCATGCAAAATTGGAAAAGGTGTTCCAAAAACTTGTATGAGTTATGTCATCGGTTTGCAGCACTTTTGCGTTTTTTTGTCTATGATATAAACAAAAACGATAGTTTACAAAAAAAAAAATTGAGTTCCGAACTTCCAAAAAAGTTGCAAATTTGGTATAATGTTGAAAATAATACAATATATATTGCTTTAAGTTTGCATTTTTTGCAATTATTAATATGTTCCGGACCTCAGAAAAAGTTGCAAAATTAAATTTACAATTATTTCAATTTAATAAATATTCCAAGAATTGATTATCTTTTATGACTGGCCTAATAGAGGTAATTGAAGATTTTAGAACGAATTTGAACGCTGTCTGGCCAGAATTAGTACAGCAAATTTCTATCTAGGAATCTCGATAATCAATATCTTAATTTTATTATAGACTCCAATCTTAAACAACTTATGATCGAACCTACCCGCTTTCGGTTAAATCAAGAACCTTCAACTCTAGACCTTATATTAACAAATGATGACCAACTTCTAATTTCTCCATCTGTCCACTCACCTATTGGGAAATCTGACCATGGCGTTATTACATTTAATATGCAATTTAACATAGAAACCCCTAATCCCGATAGGGACGTAACTTATAGTGTCACAAACTTTAATAACGTAAAGATAGTCCTCTCCGAAATTGATTGGAATCACTTTTTTAGAAGTACTGTATTAGTAGAAGATATGTGCACACTATTTCCTACAAAGATATCTGAAATTGTGAAACAAAAAATGTCCTCAGAACAAATTAAAACCCTGGATCATTGGACAACTTTTAACTTTAATAAAACATAAGAAAAATATGTGGAAAAAAATTATAGCAACCAAAAGACATGATGATTTTGTTAACCATCGACGTTTCGCAAACGATTTAATCAATGTTATTGATAACGCAAGAAGATAATACGAAGAATATATCGCTAGTAGCGATAACCCTAAGAAGCTATTTAAACACATAAGAAGCTCTCTATCTTCCAAAGTATCAGTACCTACCGCTTCTTAAAAAAACGGATGGAAACTTATGTAATAATGATCAAGAAACAGCTGAAGCTCTGGCAACCATTTTTCACAAGTGTTTTCCTTAGAACCCACTGGCGACATCCCAGTTAGTCACGATGCCCGAACAGCAACCTCTTTATGTAATGTCGAGTTCTCACCTGCAATTGTTAATGAAAATCTCAAAAAAATTCAATCAAATTCCTCACCTGGAATTGACAATTTATCCGCAATGCTTTTAAAAGAATGCGCATCTTATTTGGCTTCGCCCTTATTCATTATTATGACATCTTCCTTTACATCTCACACACTTCCTTCAATGTGGAAAATTGCTTCGGTGACACCTATTTTTAAAAAGGGTGACAAACTCAGTCCATCCAACTATCGTCCAATAAGCCTGTCCCAGTTGCCTATAAAATAATGGAATCCATCTTAACCAATTATATGTCTGATTTTTTCAAGATCCATGACGTCTTGCCAAGAGAACAACACGGTTTTATTAAAGGCCGATCTACATTAACAAACCTAATGACCTGTTTAAACGATTGGACTACGTCTGTGGACAATAAAGAGCCTGTCGATGTCGTATATCTTGATTTCGCTAAAGCCTTTGACCGCGTTCCCAAAAAGAGATTGCTTTATAAGTTGGAAAAAGCTGGCATTCGCGGCTCTTTATTTCTCTGGATAAGTAATTTTTTGTCAAATCGCATCTTCAAGGTAAAAGTTGGGCAGATGTTCTCGTCAGAGTATCCAGTTCTAAGTGGTGTCCCTCAAGGCTCTGTCATAGGGCCATTACTATTCTTGGTATACGCCGCAGATCTAGACAAAAACTTAAATTCTAATATTTCGTGTTATGCTGATGACACTAAGCTATACTCTAATCCTGTGACAGATTCTACCCAGTTACAAAAAGACCTTGAAACTATTTCAAACTGGTGTGACACCTGGCTGCTTCCTTTAAACGCGGAAAAATGTGTCGTCCTGCATATTGGAAAAAATAATCCGTGCGTGAAATATTATCTAAACGGTAGTGCGTTAGCAACTGTGACCTCCTATAACGACCTGGGACTCATTGTGAACTCTTCATTAACGTGGTCAGAGCACATATCAGCGGTATGTAAAAGTTCGAACTCAATGCTTTACCTATTAAAAAAGTCCTTCACGCGTGTGAACTTTCAAACATTTTCTAAACTTTATACAACCTACGTTAGACCGTTGATGGAATATGTCGGACCTGCGTGGTATCCTGATCTGGTTTCTGATCAAAAAAGACTGGAAAATGTTCAACTCTACTCGAATACCTTTCGGTAGAATCAGACCATCGTATGAAGAACGGCTTAATATGGCGAGTTTGTGCTCATTTTCCCACAGAAGATTAAGAGGTGATTTAATTGTGACTTACAGAATTATTCATGGTACTTTTTTATCCAACCTCTATAGTATACTCCCACGGAATACAGATGAGCGCCTACGTGAACATGAGTATAAAGTGAGCAAAGAAAATTTTAAAACACGTACCTGACAAAACTTTTTTTGTAACCGAGTTTTCTATACTTGGAATAATTTACCCTCGAGTGTTGTTCGCGCACAGTCAGTAAATGTATTTAAAAACAGAATCGATGACTTTTTTTATCGAAAACTAAAAGTTTATTTTTAGTGCTTTGTTTGCATTCTGTTATTTGCTAATTACTTATTTTATAATTGTCTTTGTTATTAAACTTGTAATTTTGGGCTTAATAGGATTCATTCCTCAGCCCTAATTTATTTGTAATAATAATAATAATAATGGTCTACAAAGGAGGGCACTTGTCTAGCATACAAGGATGTAGGTTCATGTCTCGATATTAATAATTCGTAGGGCGATTTTTGAGATATTTTTTCGAATTTTCAAATTATTCAACCACTTATTTCAGATATTTCTCTGACTTTTCAGATTTCGATTTGCGATTATTACGATAAATAAATTAACAATTCTCAAAATTTAAATTATCTGGTTATATTGGTATACGTCACAAGGTTTACTAAACATTTAAAATTTTAATAATTATTTCTCCGGCCTCTTATAATATTTGGAAAGCAAAATTTTTCTAAAGTAATTTGTAAATAATAAAGTTTCCTATGGACTATTTAAAAAGTATATGTAAACATTAAAGTTTAGTTTCTTTTTAACGTATATAACAAAAATATAATATTCGAACATCCAATATTTTCTTTGTCCCAAATAATACCCAAAATAAGTGTTTGGCAGTATATTGTACACATAAACTCCTATAGAAAGGTCCGTTTACAAATCAATCACGTTGCCCAAAATGTACCTTGCTTTGAAAAATGTTTCAGGTAATCGAAGGACTGCCAGCGTCCGGTCCGTGGGATACAGCGACCTGTTTGTTCTTAGTAAAAAGGACATGTGGGACGTCCTCAAAGAATATCCCGCCGCCAGAGTTCGACTGGAAGCGATCGCCGTCAAGCGATTGGAAAAATACAAAAGGGCGCCGTTAGAGAAAGGTATTGTGATATATTTTTAATCAATATTTATTTATATACTGTAGGTGAGTTCGGGCTACGCACTCTCTTCACTCTATTTACTCCTAAAGTAACTAAGGCATTCGGGAACGGAAGGAGTTAAAATAAAAGTTACTTTTTGACCGTTCGGAGATCATGAAGTGGAGTGTGAATCAGGCATGCGCAGAAGGTAAATTAAATCGATAATAAGATAATTATGATTATGATTCTTTAGTAAAAACCTTCTTATTTGGTTCCCTTGAATATCATTAATATGGAAGAAACTTATACGGTTGTTACTGATAAATAAGTATGATTAGATTTTAAGTACTGATATGTCACTTTGACAACTGACATTGCACTCCGAGAGTAAAAAGAGTAAAATCATATGCGCACTCTGTTTACGCCTATATATTCTACTCCACTCTTGAGTGCGCAGCCCGAACTTATTTTTTACAACCACTTTTAAATAGAAATAGGTAATAATAACTACCTAACTGTCAGAATTAACCAACTTGTTATATTTCCCAGAAAACTGGTATCTTCTTTAAAAAAAATTATCAAATCATGATAGTAATTGGTACCAATAATATTATTTAAAACTTATAAATGCCGCGTTTGAGAATCCACATCGGATAAATTTTTTACATCTCGAGCGTTTTTTTATCCACATCGGACACATCTGTCCTATTACATTTACGTATACTGAATCACGTGATCAAAGATTTACTACATCTCAGATGCATCCGATGTGGATTCTCAAACGCGGCAATAATAGGAGATTGTGTGTCAGAGAACCAAGCGGTGCCTTCCCGATAATGTGAGAGATGATATCTTTAGCATATATCGGGGGGACAACGTGCTTAGAAAACACGGCTGCATCCACGCAAAACTCGACATCTATCAACGCAGACTACTTAAGGCTCCCAGACATACTAAATAATATCTCACACCGACTAGATATTTACACAAACTAGTCGGACGGAGGACTGATCGGTGGATCGGCCATCGGGGCAACAAACGCGAAATTTGTAAAACAAGAATCCACGGGTGCTTATATCAAAACTTAGACATATACAAAAGACACACAGACTGATCTATGCTACTAACTAGCTCGCAGCAGCGAGCATTTCACTAAAATGCCAAATCACTACGACCACTAGTTATAAACGGTGGTCGGACGGAAGACTGCACGGTGACGTCACCGACCTGGCTGAAATCGTCGCAGGCAAACAAAAATGTTCGTAATTTTGTTCTCAAACATGGCTTTGACATCATGCTCATCACTGAGACACACTTTACATCGACACACAAATACAAACTACCTGACACGGTTCCCCTGAAGGGCGAATAGGTTCGTCAAAAACCTCGACTATTTCTGAAAACGGGGATTGGTTGGAAATGATTTATGTATTAAAATCCTGAAAACCGCAAAATCCTAGCTGATCGGCTTTTCAAGTTACCATCAAACTAAGGTCCCACGTTTTGACGATTGGACTCATGGCATATTTGAGGCATCCGTCACCGTTCCAGTGCTCTTGCCCGGGAATGTTTCGACACTTTAAGCATGTTCAAGGGATTCATTCCCTCTGGGCATACAGGAGAATGCTCGCTGGACAAAGTTTTCATACTACTTACTTACTCGAAGTCCGGGAACCGCATTGCCCTCCAAATCCCGATGAGAACTTTTTTTTAATTTTTGTTTCCCTGGAATTGGAGTATTTGAATGTTTAAGATCTTGCATTTAGAAGGTTGAAAATTTATTTCTAGACTTCAATTACATAATTAAATAACCTCATTACTTTATCACAGAATATAAAAGAGCAAATTGCAAATGAATTATTGATTCCTATTATTCACTATAAATGGGTTGAGGAGAATTGAGCCACCGCTTTGTGCAAATTCTTCATATATGCCTCATTTTCCATAGTGTTTATCTTGTACCTATTCCAAAATGAAAGAAACTCGCGATGGATCGATTCTCCGGCCTGCTCTGACCAATATCCTAAAGTTTCATTATTCTCAAAAAAACAGATACAGTCCTCGAGGTGTTCCAAAAGTACATGGATTTTTAGCGTAACTGTTACATTTTCTATTGCTTTGTAGTTTTTTCTAACCTCTTCTATGCACTTTTGGAGACAAGTGTTTGAGCCACTTTTTGTTGTACCAAAACAACATTTTACAAGATTATCCATAGCTTTGAATGTTTGGACATATGGAGTAACGGCGAAGATCCCTACCTTACCATATATTTCCAAATCAAACAATTTATCTGCTTCCTCAAGAAGTTTCCTGCACGCATTGCCCTCAAAAATTTCACCATGGTAGGTCTTTGAAACCAGGTTCAATTTTTTTGGCCAGATGAGTGCGCTTTCACGACCCACCAAAGGAACAAGCCCATCCCAAAACAAATGGTTTACAAAACCCTGCAATATATGCAACTCTGGTAACACGCATTTTTGGAGTACAAATATATCGTCATCTTCGCTGAAAAGTGGAGGGTTGATTGTACTGTTATGATTTTTTGCATTTTGCTTTTTCCCTCCACCAATCTGAACGAAATCCATGTAATCGTGTTTCAAATGTCCATAGGTCTTTAGACTTGAAATTGGACTAGAATTATCAGCTTCAATGGTATTATCGGGATTTTGGGCTTGAAACAAATCTTTTCCACTCCTCAATTCTGCGAGAGAAATAAAGCAATAGGGGCAAGGGTAAGTTGAGGTGGCTGTTTGTTGGCCGTTAACGAGGAGAAGGACCTTGAAATCGGACACAAATTTGAACGGAATGCTGTTCAACTCAGTTATCTCGAACAATAATTTTATATTCTCATACGTTTCTTTTATTTGAGGCACAATGCATAAAAGGATCACCCTATGCACTGAAGAAAGCTTCGCCTGCGTTGAAGTGCTACCACCTTCAGAATAGAGCTTCCTTTTTTTTATCACGCGTTCCTCTTCGTCCTCTTGGTCCTCTTTCCCCATTATGCTCATACAAATTTTAAAAAAACTCTGCCCGCCATCAGCCATCACTTTAATGTTAACATTGCCCACTTGCTGCCTCTCTTCTAAAACTATATCTAACAATTGTTCAGCATTTCCATAGACGACGGGCCGTTCAGACTTTTTATCTCCACTTTCGCAATCAAAATACAATTTTTCTGTTTGATAGACATCTTCCAAGATTCGTGATTTGTTACCAAGATGTTCACGATAATTGCTGGGAACGGATTTTCGTCCAACGTGTGTTCTCAGAAAATTAGTGAATTTTGCCATCTGGTTGAGCGATGAGCCCATATGCAGTTGAAAATTATCCAATGATTTTTCCGGGAAAACTATGTCCTCGACAATGCGCGGGTTAAGCTGAACTCTCGCCTTTGATCCACGTGTGCTCAACATGTGACTATGTTTACTTTGTGCCGATCCGGGGTTTTCGTGGGTTTGGCTATCCAGCTTGCGTCTCAAAAGGGCCGTGATAATCTGGTCTTGCTTTTTTTCTGGTATTTTAGCCACAATTTGTATAATATTCTCGTCAACTTGATTGTTGCAATTACTTGGATGTCTTTTTCCCTTACCCACTTGTTGATAACACTTCTTACAAATGCTCGCGTTTTCTGGTTGCGGGGGCCGTGATGTATTCTGTTTTTCACAGGACGTCTGTATCTGTTTGGGTGTACTTCGAAAATGCCCTCGCCCTTTTTTGTTGGGCACATGACCTTTAAAAGCTGCTGTCAAGCAAATGAAACATTTACATTCACCATTATGGACGCGTGTATTCCTGCGTAGTTGAATGTCCTCATAATTTGGCATATCCAGAAGTCTCGATTGAATATTTTTTTCCCGCTTTTGAAGATCAATTCTACAAGTCCCACAAATACTAGTTGGAAATCTCTCATCAGCCAAGTTGAAAGTGGTGGTAAGGTGTTTTTTTATTAATTTCTCCACATTTTCATTTATCCGAAAGTGTGCCTCCGTTTTCACACCAAGCACTATTTTTCTACCACAAGGCGCGCAAATTTTGGCTCTATTGCTTTGATGGGTACTTTTTGGTCTCATTATTGCACTATAAAGAAGCACACATTTTAGTCAACGTTAGTTTATAGGAAGAAAATGTAGAAATCAGTTGAAAAATTACCACAAGAATGGTCTTGTTCATTCAAGTTTCACAAAGTTGCGCGTCGCACTAAATTACAGCTTGATGTTGATTTTATGCTCCATTAACAATATTCCAAGAAAGACTGAAAATTCCGTCAATTTTGTGAGAGACGAGTGGTCAAGTGTACTTCTATGTACTTGCCCTTTTTCGCGCTGGGGGCGTGGGGGTATTGTTGTTATCGCGAGGTTTGTTTATGCGAGTATTTTGAGAATTTTGCGATGGGGGCGCTGCAGTACTGTTTGGCTGTTTTATTTGGAAATATTTTTACCCGAGTGCGAAAGAAAAAAATCAAATTTCGAACCGCGGGAGACCGTAAAGAAGCGGAAGACACAAATTGTTTATATGGCCATATAAGGTTAAAACGAGGCTACATAATTGTTCTTGTAACTTCAAAAGCCGATCAGCTAGGATTTTGCGGTTTTCAGGGTTTGAATACATAAATGATTTCTAACTAATCCCCGTTTTCACAATTGGTCGAGGTTTTTGACGAACCTATTCGCCCTTCAGGGGAACCGTGCTGAGTGTGATGTCATCAGACATGACAGACTAGACCAGGCATGGGGGGAGTAGCCATATTAATTAAGAAAAATTTTAAATACACGCAATTAGAAAACCTAAATATTACCCAGGAACATATACGCATAAAATGCAACAATATATTTTTTATAGGAGTTTACAACCCACCCATAAATATCTTCACAAAGAGAGACCTTGACAGTATCATGTCGTCGGGTCCCAGAGTTATGTTATTCGGAGATCTTAATTGCAAGCACCCTCATTGGGATTCTAACTGCTCGCGATCTAACACCAGTGGCCGAAACCTAGATGAATTCGCCGAAAGCGGTGACTTTATTATACATTACCCAGAAGACCCTACCTTTTTCCCCTACAGTGGTAACACCCCTAGCACACTAGACATCGCAGTAACAAAGAACCTACAAAACATAGACAATATAAGAACAATCACAACAATGACCTCAGACCACGACCCTGTATATCTGGAGATTAAAACATCCAGCATAATCCCCAGAATACAGGGACAGACATACGATTACAAGACAACAGACTGGCAACTATACAAAAAAAACGCTAGACGGAAACATAACATTTAACACGAACATAGACAACACTGAAATACTTGAAAATGAATTTCACAAACTTACTAATGCCATCCTGACAGCAAGAAACAAATCAACCAAAATAATAAAACACAAACAACAAAAAGACGACCTACCACAAGACATAACGGACATGATTAAACACAAAAACCTCATACGAAAACGATGGCAAACAAACACACAAGCAGCTGACAGGGTTCTTCTACTCGATATAGCCAAAGTAATAAAATCAGAAATAGCTCAATTCCGTAACGAAAATTGGAGAAGAACCCTGGAAGCGGTGAACGTACGAGACAATTCGGTGTGGAGGGTTGTGAGACGGTTTAAAAATCCATACTCGGAACTCCCCACACTGAAATACAATGACAGGGTGTGCCTGACAGACGACCAAAAAGGAGCTGCTTTCGGCGAGTACTTTCAGGACAATTTTACTAACAATCTTATAAATTCGCAAAAACAGAATGAAATCACACAATATTGTGAAGATATAAAAAATATGGAGACACAATCAGTACCTCCAGAATCACTAACCACACCCAAAGAGGTAGCGGAAATAATCAAAAGATCTCCGACTAGCAGGGCCCCGGGACCGGACGGAATCCCCAACATTTTAATCAAAAAATTTACAAAGAAAGCATAAGTTCATTTGCATTATTTAATAAATACGATATTAAAGCTACAGCACTAGCCTGAGTCCCAAAAAAAGGCAAATATAATTCCAATTATTAAGGGGAATAAACCAAAAAATCTAGTCCAGAGCTACAGGCCCATTTCATTACTAAACGGCCTAGCAAAAATAATCGACAAAATTTTACTTACAAGACTAATGACACACGAACAGCACAAGAATATTATACCGCCGGAACAGTACGGTTTTAGGGCCGGACACAGCACGACGGCTCAAATAATCAGAATTGCGCATAGTGCTAAAGAAGCATTCAATGAAAAACTACAAACGGTGCTTGTTGCCCCCGATGCTGCAAAGGCCTTTGATACTGTCTGGACCGACGGTTTGATATTCAAAATGTTTGAGAACGACTACCCCGTTCACATTGTAAAAACAATACAAAAATACCTTCATAATAGACAATTTTACATCAAAATTAAAAACACAAACTCTGGACCATTTACAGCGCAGGCGGGAGTACCTCAGGGCTCAGTATTGGCGCCCCACCTGTATACTATTTTGACCCATGACATGCCAATGGGACAAAATGGTATACAGACGGCCCTTTGCGCCGACGACACATGTATCTTCAGAAACATCGACTTCAGCAGAAATAGCCCTCAGAAGACTAGACATCCATGTAAATAGAATACTAGTCCCCTACATGGATGAAAATAAAATAAAAATAAACCCCGAAAAAACGGAAAGCGTACTCTTAACAAAAAAAACAACAGAAAGCATAAAATCTAAATTAAAAGTACAAGGGAAAACCATAGAAACCAGTAACAAAATTAAATATCTTGGGTTCATCCCTGATAGGGGACTCACATTTAAACAACATGTAGCAGACAGAGCAGCGAAAACAGTGGGAGCAATTAAAACCCTATACCCCCTCCTTCATAGAAGTAGTGGAGTAACAATTCAGAACAAATTACTTTTATACAGGCGAGTACTGCGGCCCATTCTCACATATGGATGTCCAGTCTACTGCTCAATGGCTAATACACACTTTGAAAAAATGCAAATATCACGGAACAAGTGTCTGCGGCTAGCGCTGGGGTACGATCGCTATACGAGAATCACAGACTTACACGAGCAGGCATCCATCGAACCAATCAAAGACTTCGTCTTAAAAACATCAGAGAAATTCTACAGAAATAGTTTAACTGACACACTAAGGGAAGACATATTCTCAATACATGCAAGGGATGGGGTAAGCAGGACGCATGGATGCCTGCACAAGAACTTACAAATTTACAGACGTAACCAATAACACATCCCACAGCAACTAACAACCCACTGAATAGACAAAACACTACGACCACTTTATGTATAAAGAGGTCGGACGGAAGACTGCACGGTGACGTCATCGCCAAAAATTGCCAACTCGCAGTTTTGGATAATGGTGAAACTGTGTAGTCTTGTGTTTTGTCTAAAACAGACACAAACGAGTACAAATAACACACATGACAGACAAGGACAACCCTGTTTTTTGTAATTAGTTTTTCAGGGATGACAATCACAAGTAAATTCGAACAAAACTATAGACATACACCACTACTGATCAGCAGGCTCACCCAAATTGCGGTATAATGCTTTAAAAGCAAGAAGATCGCACGTAAAGCAAAATAATAATAAGTAAGAATGGTATTAGGGCTATGACATCGGCCGTGGCTCTGCTTGTTAGGGCCAGCAGTATGGAACTTCAGGGGGAACCAAGAAGTAATACCGCATATTAATAATATTATTGTTATTTATTGTAAATAGTTGTAAATATTTTAAAGAATAATAAAGAATGAATGAATGAAATCGTCGCAGGCGATATCAGACCAGCTCGAGGGCTAAACTGTGTAGTCTTGTGATTTGGTATCCAGTATACACTACACAAAAACTACAACGTGACACACACACCGACAAGGACAACCCTGTTTTTTGCAATTGGTTTTTCAGGGAAAACACATACAAAATTAAATTCAAACAAAAACTATAGACAACTACCACTACCGTTCTAGCAAGCCACTCAAAATAGGTACATAATGCTTTATCAAGCAAGGGGGTACCTGATTCAATCTTAATTTAAAACAGTAATACGGATAACAACACGGTTATGACATCGGCCATGGCCTATCTTTATTGTAGGTGAAGTAGTTTGGAGCTTCCTGAAGACTTTCAAGAAGCAATCTACTAAATGTGTATTCTGTAATTATTGAAAATGTAGATATTGTAAATAGATAAATAAAGATTTTAAAATGAAAAAAAAAACGCGAAATTTACATTCGCGAGTGCTGCTTCGATGGAAGGTGCAAAGACCACTCTGCCTGTGGGATAGAGTAAATAACTATAGACTATACAAACGTACACACAAGGACAACCCTGTTTTTTCTAGCTTTTTTAGGGGACAACAACCAGAACTAAAACACGACATATCCTTACCTATTTCCCATTACCGATACCAAAATAAACCCCAATTCCTCAATAATACCGTAACGGTAAGGAGTGAGGGCTGTAAACATTGCAAACTAGAAACAAAAATAGTTATTATTGGTGGACATGTCTTCCATGGTCTCCTGGACCCGCACGAAAAGAGAAATCTCGGTAGTGTTGTTTAATATTAATTATTTTTGACATATATACGAATATGTTAATAAATTGATGTTATACTGTGTCAGAGAATGCATTGGTCGTGTTCATCGTCGTCAAACATGTTTCAAAAATCATAAAAACACGTTTCGTAATCGGTTGTATGACGCTGAACGATTATTTTGTTTACGATTTGTTTTCATAACCTCAAACCTGTCAAAAAATTGAATGACATTTGGTTGGCACACAGAAGGTTATGTGTATTGTTTTTCTTAGTATTTAGTTAAATTTAATATAACTAATGATTTAAAATTTTTTGGGTTTAGTTGCAATAAAATAGGTTGAATTATTTTAAGAAATGAATGTGACGTATTTAAAGTGTGTAGGTAGTTTTATTAATATTAATAAAACTCAGTAAAAGTAGTCTTAGCGCTTTCAGCCGATTAGGCCATCATCAGAGACTCTACAAAGATAAAAAACGGAGCTATAACAATAGTCAAATCGAGATATTCCTAAACATTGAACAAGAAATAAAAAAACATTACAACTTACTTGTCAGTAAATATAGAAGGTACATGAAAATTAATTATTTAAAATTTATTTATTAGATTCAAAGGGCTGCCACAATACGGTCCCTGGTTCTCAACCATAACTTGAGGCTTGAAACGAAGCAAAACCAATCCTAACAGGTGGTTGAAAATTGAAAAGAAACGTGGGGGCTCATCCCAACACGTGTAAATAAACTGTCTCAACCTTTCCAAGGAAGAGAGATGGAAAAAACTGAACTTCGGCTTGAAGCCAGCTGCCCTTTCAAAATAGCTACCGTGAGGCGGAGGCAAGTTGGGGCACAGGTAATCGTAAGAAGTAGAATGCAATAAAGACGAAAAGGTAACCATCTTGACTTTAACAGTGCCAAAAAAGAACTGAGTGACAATTGACAGTTGACAATGAAGTTGTCAAAACAATTGCCAACTTGAGAAAAACAAATAAATTTCATGAAAATTGATCAAAGTTAATATTTAAAAAGATAAAAGTGGGTTGGAACCACTGAAGTAGCAAGCACAAGTTATGGAGGGAATTTTAAATTTTAAATTATTTTTAAAAATTAACCAAACGTTACAATAAATAAGTAGAATTATAAAATATACATTGAGTGAAGGT